GGGAAGGAATAAAGAAATCTAATCTGGTGTCTTTAAATCATGATACAAATTGCACTTCCTCAGAGTGTTCTCTGCCTCTTCAAATGATAGTAAATAAAATGTTAATAACATATCTACATAGCAATTTAAAAATAGAAGTTTCTCTTCAAAGTTCCTATTTATAGCTCTTAAATGGAAACTGTTACTTTCTGCTACAGTCTTTTCATGTATATATTTCTAGAATCAATTTGTAACTCTTCAAAATGAATCATACTTTTGTATCTCTCATAAGCATCTAGTAGAGTGAGTAACACATTAACACAGTGCTTTAGAAACTATTGTTGTACAATAAACTACTTGATACTAGTGGGGTAAAATGACAATCTTTTCTAATTATTATTTCATGGTTCTGGGGATCAACTAGGTGGTTCTCACTTGGGGGTCTCTCCTGTGGTTGCAATCAGAAAACACTGGAGATTCCTTCGCTCTCATCTCTGGAACTTGATTTTGGCTCTTGTCTGGGACCTCAGCCAGAACTCTTCTCTAAAATACACATACATGGCTTGGGCTTCCTCAGGTGATGGTGGCTGGGTTCCAAGAGCGAGTATCCTGAGAAAGATGCTCTATCACCTTTTATGGCCTAGCCTCTGAAGTCACACAGTATTTATTAGAATGAAGTCACTAAAGCCACCTATATTCAAGGGGAGGGGAATCTAGACTCCACCTCTCAATAAAAGGAGTGTCAAAGAACGTGCAGATACCATATACAGTAAATGCTAATTAGACGCCTGTTTTAAGCATTTATTACATTTTGAAAAAGCATCAGAAAGAAAAAAAGAGGGAATGAGTGGTGCAGTCTTAAAAGGTTTGAAAAGAAGTCAGTAATAATGCTAAAGACTTGATTAACCCATAAAATACACTACCAATGGGCGTTTGCTTTACAGGTAAGAGTTTGTAACCATTTTACAATTTCTTTTTAGGGGATAAAATTGAGGTGTTTAGTGTAGGGATGTGTAGAGATTAGTGCTTCTCCTACCTTTATGTGCATGAGAATTACCCGCGGGTCTTGTTAGAATGCAGATTCTGGGGCCAAGCCCGTGGCGCACTCTCGGAGAGTGCGGCGCTGTGAGCGCGGCGACACTCCCGCCGCGGATTCGGATCCTATATAGGGATGGCCAGTGCGCTCACAGCGCTCACTGGCTGAGCGCGGTGCAGCCGGTCTCAAAAAAAAAAAAAAAAAAAAAGAATGCAGATTCTGGCTCAGTAGGTTTGAGGTATGCCTGACATTCTGCATTTCTAGCAAGCCCCAGGGTGATGCTGCAGCTCCATTCCCACCCTGCCATCCCCGCCCTTACCACCGCTGAATATCAAGTTAATAAAAAGTAGAAAAGGTAACAGCCTGGCTCCTGCAGCCCCACCATTCTCTGGGATAAGCCCTACTAAGGGTATACCACCAGAGGTCATTATGTGCATACAGGACCTTGACGCTCTGGCCAGGTGAACCCAATGCCTATAAGGTTAATCAGTTCTTCCACAAGACTTTTAGAACTGGAATTAAAGAGTAACTTTCCTTTCTCCTGTGGTAGAAGCATGGTTTCTGAGGGTCAGGAGTAAACACCATGTGAGAAAGACAGTTTCCAGGAAGGATAAAGGGAACATACAGAGAGAAGAGAATCCATGGAACATTCCAGTCCCTGATAAGGCTCAGACCGGACCCCTTTCCCTCAACTTTATATGAGATATCCTAATATCCTTCCAGCAAATTCTCCTCTTGGCCTAAATTTGTTCTACTTGAGTTTTTATCATTTGAAAATAAAAAGTTCCTAACATGGGGTAGACGGAGAAGGGGATGTGTTCTCTTGGAAATGTAGTACCCACCGTCTTGAAGAACTGGATTATTATCCAGACCTCTGGAATGTGGGAGTGAGGATAGACTACCCATTAAATCAAACTACAGGTGTGTTTCCAACAGAGTGGACATGCTATGGAGAGAAACAACACTAGAAAACCAAGGATGAGGGAAGATTGAGAAAAGCCTCAATCTACCTAAAATAGGGAAAAACCTAAAAAGGAGAGGCAAGAAAGTCTGTGGATTGGAATTGTTAGATAGTGTTGAAAATGAAAAGAAACTGCTACTTAAACACAACATCTGCTGAAAACAGAAGAGAACAGGACAGTCTAGAAGTAGCAAAGCTAATGTTCTTTGAAGAGCAACCAGTCCTCGGGCTTGCATGGACGTTACAAATGAGATAGAGTTCTACCCAGCAAAGAACAAAATGTTGACCTTTTCCTATGTGCCAGGCATAGTGTGACGTGCTTTACATAGATGACCTTATTTAATGACCCCTAAGAAAGGGTCCTCCATTGCTCATACCATTGTCCCTAAAACTCTAGCACAGTCAGAGGTGGCACTTCCACAGTCAGAAGAGGTAAAACCGAATGTGGGTGATATCATAGGAATCCCATCTGGGAGACCTTATGACTGGGTACACCTCAGGCAAATCTGAAAGTCCTCTGAAGTCACTGAGACAGCAAGCAGAACAGGTGAACTCCACCTTTCCATGTTTGAAGTAAATGAATTTTTAATAACCAGTTTCTTAGTTACACCTTCATCTTTATCAATCCAGTTATTCTAGGATCTACATGGTTTAATTAAACTGAATATTCCACAGACATTTCCAAAACAGTCATTTTTTTGCACTAAAACAAATTAAAAAAAAAAAAAAAGCCTGGTTACCACAAAGGTGTATTATATCCATGAATGGAAAGGCGTTCCTGTTTAAGCAGCAGGTACAAGTGTAGGTAGGGCAGCCAGCAACAGAACGGCAATACTGGATAATGCTTTCTTCGTGGTAAATGCCCTCAAGTATGAGATGTGCCAGTGAAGCAACATGGCTGATTCCATGAAGCAAAAATGGATATTAATCTCATTATTTTATAGCCATACCTTGTGGTATGTTTCAAAAAATATTACTTTCACAAGTTAAAACAGTATCTACTACAGATAGACTTAATTTTGGTAAAAACAAACTAAAAAAAAAGTTATATGTTAATGCAACATTTGTTGTAAAGATTCCAGAAATACACAAGTCAAAATTTCAAATTATGATTCCCACAGTAACTGTAACTCTGCTATACAACATACATAATGGAAGACGTGATCAACATACACCATAGTAGAAAATACTCAGTAAGCAGAAACAAGCTGAGTTATGCTTGTTGTGGGAATCACCATTTACAACTAGCTGAGAATATATAAATATTGAAACCATAAGTGCATACATTATTTTTTGTATTTAATTCTAATTTTTCTCGATTCAATTTAATCAGCTTTGCATCCAAACTACATTTGCCTTTCATAAACTGCAAACGAATGTCCTTTGTAACTTAAAAATCCACATCATTTGGTTTCTTCTTCTCATGCAGGCTGCCATTGCAGGATGGTATCATTATACTCCGTCCTTCTTCAAAATGTCAGAACATGTCTGCTGGGATCCATATATCTACATTCCTTTTCTCTCTGAAGGACACCATGCAGGAGGAGAAAAAGAATATCAAAGAGAACAAGAATCACATTGAGTAACTTAGAAAGGTAAATAAGTGCAACAGAAAGAGGGACAATGTAACCATTGATCTCCCCTTGGTATCTTCCTAAGCAGAAATAAGAACAATAATACCATCACATATATTTACAATTTCCAAAGTGTTCAGTCATAATATTATCTCATCTAATCCTCACCATGACAGTGAGAAAGGCAAAAAGAAAACCTTTCCATTGTTCGGCTCTTTGTGACTCAAAAAGAATACATTTAAGGATGTGCTTCTATGTTATCATTTAAAGTCTGGGCCATTTAATAGCACTTATAATATTTCCTAAATATACTTACTTACCACATATAGAGTACTTTCTTATTACTGAAGATAGAATATACTTTATGTAAAAAGATTATGGTTATAAGCTAAACATTTAACATATTTTAAGTTTTTGGCTTTAACTATATTCTGAAGATTCAACAATGAAAGAGAGAAACAACTGCCCTTTGAAACTCTGCCTAGACAAAATTAATACTGTATATTATATCCAGTATTACTTTTCCCGGCTTGGTTTTAACTAAGAAGGGCACCTTCTACAACTTCTGCAGAGTAATCCTTCTATTTTCTAGCAGTCTTTACCATCAGGATATGTTTCATTATATTCAACTAAATTACTTTGACTCAAGAACAATCATAATTCCTTTACTACTCTAAATAGTTCCACCCTACCAAGGTGTACATGACCTGGTGTTAGGTGTCTGGAGGGCAGTATGATCTACCTTTTTGTCTCTTGGTGCTACTATGATCAGGCTATTCAAATTTAAGTTTGATTTCCCTTCTTTCTATGTACAAAAAGATCCTTTTCTCTATAATTTTTTTCTCAGATAAAATTTTTCTTCTTTATTTACATAGTGCACCAATACAAAGATCAATTAAAATGAAGACTCAGAGCTGGCAGAAGCCTCAAAATCATTTGTTCTAGCTGGGGATATAACACAATCAATCCTTTGCCTGAGAAAGGTATGACCATTTTGCATGTAAATAAAGGGTGTAATATGTTAAGTACTAAAAGGAAAACAAATCCTAAGAAATATTAATTTTAGGAGATTTTAGTGTGAAGGAAGAGTTGTCTTTTCAATGTAACCTACAATTATAAGACAGGTATTTGCAATGAATAAAGATGAACACATCACTTCTTAGATAAAACAGATAAAACGCATAAAGGTATCCCCTGGGATATGAATACTGGACTTTCAGGCTTTTCTCCCCTTTTACGCAAAAGTTTGAAAAGAAAAAACAATATTTGGGGTTGATCACACACCACAATTTCAATACTATTTCTAGTCAGGACAAATATGTGAGATGACTAGTAGGCTAAAAAGTCAGCGGTAGTGGGGATATGGACTGTTACATCTAACTAGAGACCACACAAGGGGCTTACTATCTCATGTGATACATCAGTCAGACATGAAGGCAGGGCCATAAGCATAAATTTTCCATGCAGGTTATCTACTTTATAGAACTGCCCTCAGGGAAAGTGTAGATCAGCCACTGGGCAAGTTTACCTTAAAAAGAATGAAATAAAGTCCTTGTTGGCTGTTTCTTTCAAGGTAGAAACTGAAGAAGAGATGACAAATTCTAGATGATCACAGAATGCTTAGAAATGGGGTCTGTTTCTCTTGAGCAATCCATGCACAAAATTCCGAGAGGTCTAAAATTCCCCAGATAAATTGACAGCAAATAAGGTCCTGAAGACTGTCAGTACCTTAGATTAAGAAACCAATTTTTCATCTTTACTTACAAATAAAACTGCAGATTTCCATGAGTGACCAGAAATAAAATATTAGTACATTAAAGAATGAACCAAAGGAAGACTTTGAGAACACGGTGAGTGGTCCAACAATAGAAGACTCTCAAATAAATTACTATACATTCACACAATGGATACTATGCAGCCATTCATAGTATATTATTTTAAAATGTCCAAGGAGAGGTAAAGGGTTAATAATATATTCTAAAATGAAAAAAAAGAGGTTACAGAATGGTATATTCTACATAATTACTATTTTGGGGAAAAAATATGTGCATAAATAAAAAGATTGGAAAGACATACAAAAAATTACTAACAGAAGTTACCTCTGTTAATGAGAATTTAATGTTTTCACAATTTTTACTTTTCCATGAAAAGGGGATAAGGGGAAATTGCTATTAACCAAAAAGAATCAACCACTATATTCTGTTCTCTTTGTCCCATTTGTTTTTATAACACACAAGAGCAATATATTTTTAAAACACATAATGACATTAGTTTGTATCCAAGATTGCAGTCTTCCAGGCAGTCTTCTTCATACATCGTGGAATCTAAAAAATGAACTTCATGTGCTTGATTCCATAAGTTTTGAAGAAAACCATGATAATGAGTGCCCATAATCCCAGAATAAAGCCCCCAGGAGGATGCCAATCTTTCAGCTTTGGTTTCTGCAAAAAAAAAAAGGATAATGTAGTAAATTTAACAATAGGTCAATAATTCAGCAATGGATAAAGCAAATACTGATGGAAAAGAGAAATGTCACTGGTTGTACTTTAAGGGTAAGTAATTTAGCCAAATTAAATGTATTGAGATAGCAACAATGGTTAAGACTTCAAACAGGGTAAAATATCCCAAAGGGTAAATTGGATCCTAACAAAGATTAGCTTCAGCTTATATTTTGTTTCCTCAAAAGGGTCTTCCCAGACTACCTGATCCAACCACCTTTCCTCACTCAAGTTATTCAGTAGCCTAACAGTACTTCTCACTTTGAATTTATGTATTAATTAGTTTGTTAGTTTTATCTGTCTCTCCTGTTATGGTGAAGGTCATCTCGTTACATTCCCAGCACTGACCTGTCACAGTGCCTGGGACACAGGAGGCACTCATATATCATACTGAGTAAATCAATGGAAGAACAAACGCTACCTGACTCCATTCATTCAGATATTCAAAAACTCTTGTTTAGGAGCCAGTAGTACCTCTGTTCATGTCTCTCTCTTGAGGTCAAATGTTCCTTACCTTGTTGTGCCTATTCAAAACTTTCATCAACTCAAATGCCAACTTCTCCAGATTTTCCCAGCTGATATATTCTGTTCTTTGAATTCTCACACTACCTGATTCTCACACTACCTCTGTTGTTACTCCCATCTACTGTTATAGTTATCTTTGTCATTTATCTCCCTGCACACTTCCTGCAGTCAAAGTCCATTTAAGTCCATTTACATCCCCTTCTTCATTCCCCACTCCACAATACCCAGCCAAGTGTCTTGTATGTTTCTTTGTCCAGCAAAGACCAATCTTCCCCATTTATTTGTCATTCCAATAGCTACATTATGGCCCTGTAACTGAAGGTTTGTGACAATGATCTCTTTATGAGTCTACTTACTGAATTATTGGCCAAGATTGTAAGGATGGTTATGATATGAGAATCATTTTAGAGTATACTAGAGGGAAGAGAAACTGTTAAATATGCTTTAGTCACCACAAACAACTTTCATCAACCCCAAACTAACTTTTCAAACTAAAAGGAGAGAAAGCCACCTTAATATTTTAATTTGTTTCATAATGCTGACTTGTAGGAACTTTCAATTAAATGCTTAACATGAACTAAACTGACTATTTTTTATAGTGGTTACATTCCATCTTGATTCCTATGTCTACTCTTACTTCTACCATTCCTTTCAGAAAACTCACCAAAATTTTTCCGAAAAACATTAAATCCAATTTTCCTCGTGTTACTTCCCACTCAAAAGTCTGCTGCTGTACGACTACTGTTCAGTTTTTGCCATTTATTTTCTACTAGTCAAACAATTGGTAATTTGCACAAAAGGGTTGAAAAAGCTTACAACCAAAAATTATTTTTCCAAAAACTGGGAAAAAATTACCATTATTCATTATTAGTGGAAGCAGATCTTTATACAGTAGTCTGCAGATGTTCCCTGGAAGAGCCCAGTTTATGAGCACTGACCTAGTTAGGGAGATAAGATTCTGATTTTCCCTAACAACTAGGAGTCTGAGTTACATGGCATTTTAAATACATGCACTTAGGTCACTGTAGAAAAGTTAGATAAATATTGTCAAAATCTGGCATTAAAGCAAACTCTTAACTGAGGATAGGCTACAGGCAATAGTTCCATAAACCAAATTAGTGAACTTCAATTCTAAAAGAGTAAGTAGGTATTTAAATCAAGTCATGTGCTGGGAAAATAGAATAATTTAATCAGGCCCCCTCTCCTGCCCATCCGGTTGGGGGTGGTGCAGTGCATTCTTTGTAAGCAAATTGTGTGTGAGGGAGTGGAGTTAGTGCACCTGCGCAGCACTGGGGCTTGGTTGGCATCTGCCTCAGGCGCCCACCTGCACGGCCATTCTCTCCAACCTACAGCTTCCAAGGACCTGTTCACTGGTTACCTAGCTCATAGACCTACGTATGAGGGGTCTGGTGAACCAGCCTGGTGTGTGAGGGGTCTGGTGACCCAGCCTGGCATGTGAGGGGTCTGGGGAGCCAGCCTGGTGTGTGAAGGGTTTGTGACCCAGTCTATGAATGGGTTTGAGCGGTCTGTGAGCTCCAGACCCAGCCTTAGCTTGACAATTGGCCCAGTCAACAGGATTACGGGCAGGTAAAAGAGCCTGGTGTGTGAAGGGTTTGTGACCCAGTCTATGAATGGGTTTGAGCGGTCTGTGAGCTCCAGACCCAGCCTTAGCTTGACAATTGGCCCAGTCAACAGGATTACGGGCAGGTAAAAGAGCTCCTACGCCATGTAAAAAAAAAATTATGAATATCATTTAAGCTCCATCATTCATTAGAAGTTATAGAAATAATAATCAAGTAGTTAATAGCAAATCTTGTTTCTACAGTGGAAGAAACTCTAGTTACTTTCCAATTAAATGGATTCCCTGAGATTACGATTTTATTATTAGATCTTAAACTTAGTAGCCAAAAACAGTTGGCCAAGACAAGACAACCAAGGGAAAAATAGCACCTTAGGAAGTAACTATCATTTCTCCAAAGCCTCAAGAATTAGCTCTAGCAACTATTTTGATCTGTTATTCTAAAGACTGAATAGAAGAGTTCTGGAGGCAAACTATCCTGGACCTTCAAACTCCCTGACAGGCATGTGTCCCACATCTAGAACACTGATGGCCATGAGAGGACCAGAGAGAAAAGCAAAGTGCTAGAGCTATGGTTCCCCAACAGCAGACTTTGAAAGTAATAATGGAGGACCGAGAAAAAACTACTCCAAAATTATAATAAAATGGTGTATTTTTTCACATTGTAACACTGCAGAAGCTAACAACAGCAGCAAATCTTAGCCTTTCAAAACTGCTATTTGCAGTTGCTTTATTGTATATTCATTACATCTTTTTGATTAACAAAAAATGGAAAATACGTTATTAATTAAGAGAACTCTAGATTCAGCTTAAGATGTCATCTGAATAGAATCCCCCAGTGCCGCCTTTTCCATCTTCTCAGACAATCCATACAAAGGAACAGAAAAAGACAACAGCACACCCTACCAAAATGAAATTAACCTCTGATAAGAAACCTCGGTTAGTTTCACTATCTGAAAGTCCTTGAAACAAGGTCTAGAAACAAATTAATGGTGGCCCAGTTTTCTGATTGGTACACATCATGCAAAGGATTGCTTTGCTCTGTGAAACACAATAACTCTGCCAGCTGAGAAAGGGATTTCAGCTCACTACCTTTTTCTGCCTGTTTTTTAAGAAACACAGAGTTCCTGTAATAGAAGGATGTCTTTATGAGGCACCCAGAGTTGTTAACTCATTCCCACCACCCCAGTGGCACACCTCATTTAAATACGATTCCCAGTAAACAACATGAGAGAGATGGAGAGGCAGTGACAACAGTTCGGTGAATCCTAGAAAGTTCAATATCCACATGACAAGTTCTGCAGAGAAGGAAAAATACAGGAAAAACCCTGCTGGCAGTACATGTTAAAAAATATAGTTTCTCCAAATACTTCACCTTTTTTTTATTTAAAATTTTTTATTATTAGCATATTCATTTTTACATATCATGATATTTCTTTATGCCCTTCACCCGACCTATCACTTCCCAAACCACCTCCCCCCCCCCCCCCCC